ACTACAAAATGATATATCACGTATAAATCAACTGTTAATCCTATGTTTCACATTTGAAAAATTCATCAATTAGATAGTTAATCCTTTTACAAGCATTTTGAACATTTTTTCCCTCAAAAAATCTGAAGTATGAATATCATTTTTATATTCAATATACTTAAAGCCCTTTGTTTAATAACTGCTCAGGATTTGGGAAGTGTTATGGCTGAGTTGCTTTATATAAGATGTTTAAGTCCTGGGAGTCTAAGTCTATAATCTGAGACTAAATGGTAAAGTAATCTCTCTCCTCCAGGAAGGTGGGGCGAATGATGAACATACACATTTCCTCTGACTCTGAAGGAAATCATATGTGTAAATAATGTTAATTAGGACTTCTGTCCTGGAATCATTCTAAAGTAGCTGTGCTTTTCTTTTATATGCTCTATGGCCTTGTGCATATTGTTTTTTGTTTTTTTTTCTTTTTTATCTTCACCTGAGGATATTTTTCTTTTTATCTTCAGATACAGTGAGAGGGAGAGGGAGAGAAACATCGATGCGAAAGAGACACATTGACTGGTTGCCTCCCACACGACCCCGACTAGGGCTGGGGACGGACTGCAACCTAGGTATGTGCTCTTGACCAGAATCAAACCTGCAACTCATTGGTCCACTGGCCGATGTGCTCCTGCTGAGCAGAACCAGCCAGGGCGGGCATATTAACCACTTTGACCTCAGTTCCTCATCTTTAAATTGGAGATAATACTACTCCTTACCTCAAAGTATTGCCACAATTATTGGTTTCAAGTCTATTTGAGGCCTACTACCCTCACTTCAAGAAAGTCAGAAAAACTTCTAGATTGCATGTTTTAGTTTCCCCTCGCAATTTTGAGAGAGTAAGAGGAACATTGATCTGCTGCACCCAGGTATCAGAGATGATTTGTTCTCCTGGCTCTTCAAGGTCAAAAGCAAGATGAGAGTAGATAGAAACCGTACACTTCTTCTAGGGGGCAGAAAAGAGAAGAAACTAGCTCCCTTTTCATGGTTGATTGACAAATGTGGTCCCGTTGGTGACAATGGCTTGGGCTAAGGGATTTCAATGCTAGTACTGAGAAACACACAGTGAGATTAGCCAAATGAGATAAAGGATGCTAATTACATGTTTGGAACTTGTCTGAACATAAACTAATAGTGAGAAAGAATAGAATTTATTCTGTGATACACTCAGTTTTCATACTTAATCTATGTTATATGTGTAAAGAAGTAATTAACAACCTCCTATATCACAGTACACGCTGTTTTACTTCAGTATTGTGGACGATTAGTCCTGTTGGTAGCACAAATGTATGCGATGCACCATGGGATGATTAAATAAATGAGCATTATCTTATTGATATTACTATTACTAATAATAAATGAAAAGATTATATTTTTATCAGATTATATCGTAAAAATTATTATAAAATAATAAGATAGCAGAAAAAAAGAGTTCTGAACATATGGTGTAGTCTTTTCTACGTGAACTTTTAAAAGAACAGCTGAGCAGTTGAGAGAGGGAGCTCTTAGTTGCTTAGACTGCTGAACTATAATATAAGGGAAATGAAGGGAATATTGACACGTCTGAGAGATATGTCTTCCTAGGTAATTCTGTGATCTTGAGGTGTTATACATGAAATAAGCATTTCTTTCCTTAAAAATTAATGAATGAATGTTAAAATTAATTTTAAAAAATTATATAGCCTTGATATAAACAAAAGTACCTTCAGTTCTGCATAAAAGTTAGGTTAAAAGGCAACCACATCTAGTGTGGTATCACAGAAGAAATTTCGGCAATCTAGAGAACAAGAGGACCTAGCTACATTTCGTCAGGTTTTTCAGTAATGATGGAAAATAAACACAAATAAATTGAAAATTGGGCTGCTCAAAGTAAACAGGGATTTGGCCAACATGCCTAATTCTGTGTATATATCTTCGGGGTTTTATTATGTCAAAACTAGTTGGACAGTAAAAAAAATCAATTTGCTAAAGAAATAGAGCTTAAGTATATTAAATATTCTTATGCACTTAGTAATTTCGACTCACAAAATCCATCATTTAAAAATTGTCCACTCTTCAGCTTTATGGGATTAAGAATAACATCTAAAATAATGTGTTACTTCATAAATGCTTGCTACACATCGAGGCTACTTTTGAATATTGTGATTTCTAAGAAGATTTAGAGAAAGGAAGATTAAGTATGTGTGATTGGAAATCTATTCATAATCTTGCTCAATCAGCAGTAGTGCTACTAGTATCATTATGAGGTTCACAACAAGTCTACTGAATTGCTGGAGTGCAACACAGCTGGTTGGTTATTTTGGCTCACTTAATGCTTGCCCTGATTATGTGGCGTTCAGCTAATTATATGACTAAATATCTGACTCAACCACACAGTAGTGAATTTATTGGCCACATGTGGGCATGACGTTAATCTTTCCTTCCAATGAAAAATTAGACATAGTCACTCCAAGGAACATGAATCAGCTGGGCTCGTGGAGCCAGCATCAATTATATTTGTCCACATGTCTTTCTGTCATGCTGTGTCCATCCCTTCCAAAGCCTGTTTGGGCTATGCTCAGGTCATAAAAACTTTACAGTAAAGCTCATGTAGATTACTCTTTGATCTCCTGGTTCCCTTTACTTAGCATCACAGTCATTTAACATTTGTTGATTGCATCACATCACATATGTTAGTGTGTCTCCTAGATCAATCTTATTCTCCAGAACTGTTTTTCTATTAGTTTCCTTTTGCTCCCAAGGTGGAAAGTACCTGTTTTTCAATACCCAACTTTATTGATGAAGGTTTTTTTAGCTTTTAAATGACACATGTTTCAAAAACATGCTGAATCAATGCTAAAAGAATGGGTGTTAGCAAACTTGGAGGTGGAGTAGCTTTAAATATCTGATAAGAAAAAAGCATTGAAAGCATAAAGTAATTAGGTGGGTTTTTTTGTTTGTTTGTTTTTTTCTGAAAAGATCATTTAGTTGAATGTTATATTTGTTCACTTTAACTGGGTTGGCTCAGAACATTTTTACGAGTATAGAGAAAATGAAGTATAGATATGGTTTTTCTATAGTGGGTATCCTCTGAAAAGTATTGCTGAGGAATTCTTGAAAAGAAAGATATTTCTGAAGCTACTTCTCCTGACAGGAACATGGTATCTAATATTAACAAGTGTTGACTATTTTTTATCTAAGGAAGTAGAAGTGTCTGTGATAAAGATGTGCACTATACGTTTTCCCACAATTCATCTTCTAATCTGCTTGGATAGAATTTTAGACTATTTTTAAAGCCAGTGTGGAGTGCATTTTAGGACTTCAAAAATTATCATGCCCTCAGTCTTCCACAAGTTCCACTGTAAGATGCTTGCTTTGGCTTCTGTTCACGTGTAGCTCTTCTTTTCCTGGGCAGTCCCACTCATATATTCTGACTGTGGTGGGAATGAATAATATCTAATATCAAATAGTGCACCTATCATGGGCAGAGACAAAAATTTCTCATATAGTATAGTGGATATAATCTAGTATGCATAACTTGAAAATATTATTTCTAAAGGATATATTGTGTTAAGTTTTATTTGTTTTATTTCAGTAGCTCATCCTAGATAACATAGACTTTGCTTAGTTGTGTAAGAGGAAAGTTATTTTTTGTGGTAGCTAAATGTTTTCAGTGATCTAAGAAGTAATAACATGTATTAATTAAGAGAGATAAGAAAGGATATATAAGCCAGTATTTTTAATAGCAGAGCATACACTTTACTTTTTAATTAAATTTATCTTTTTTGAGAATTGAATGAATATGACAAAATGTATAAGGAAGAGAAATGTGAGAAACTTTCATAATGCAGTCGAATCTGTGAAATGCAGAAAGAGGAAATTAGTTTATTTCCCCTTCCCCTGAAAGGCTGATATAAGGAAAGAAGAAGAGAAGAAGAAATTTTGTGTGTGTTTTTATGAAGATGTGCATTGAATAGATTCAATTTTTTTTTCCAAATTAGCAAAATCTTGTTTGTTAAAAATCTAATTTTCACCAACTAATTAAAATGTATTTTTTAAACAAGTTAAAATATTTTGAAAGAAAAGACTATTTTTTAAGTATTGAAAGATTTGTGTGACAGAATAAAAAAAAAGCATCACGAATTAGTAGAAGACCAAAGACCAAATGCAAGAATAAAATCAACTTACAAGAAGAGAATCAGGCACAGGCACTTTGCGAGGTCCTAGAACTTCAGCTGTGAGGACAGGGCAACCTATTCTGTCCCTCTCCCGCGGAGAGTATGTGGCCTGTTTGCAAGGAAAACGAGCATGTTGAGGTTGTCCTCAAAGGAACAAAAAGATATTTGACCCTATAGTGAGCGCCTTTCTGCATTATTTAACAACTCAAAAAGACATAGTAAGTGTGACAACTCCATTTTTCTTACTCTTATTTCCCATTTCATCCCCTAGAAGGCAATTATAAATATATTTATGAAGAATGCTATAAGGAATGGTAGTTTTTCCTTAACCTCAGGGTGCAGAAAAGTCATCGTCACTTATTTGTGTTTGTAAAGTTGTTGAAATGACGTAAGCTGACAAGTGGTGAACACTGGAATATCAGGTCTAATGTGTTTGACTTACTTATAGGACAGTGTGTGGTTGAGATTCCCTCCTGTATGGTAACAGCCAAATTTACCATCATAAATTTACTTGTTAGGAATTCATACCATGTGATTTTATGCTGATAGCAGCAAAGAGTATTCTTAGACAACAGGTCGAATTAATATAAATGACAATTTGAGCCCTACGTTAGGAGTGCACATCTTTATTGAAAACAGTAATCCTGATACGTGGTGATTTATTGAAAATCTAATTTTACTAGATTATTTTTTCTCCCACCTGGTTAAAATAACTATGCTCATTTCTCATTCTTCTTTTCATGCACACCATTTTAAGAGTGACTGTTTCATATTTATTTCTCATTTGTCCATTAATATTTTCCTCTTCAGGTGTAACCTAGCCCCTGTGGTGGAGTTTGCTGCAGATGTGGGAACTAAATCAGATTTTATTACCATGAATCCATCAGTTGTACAAAGAGCATTTGGAGGCTTTCGGAATGAGAGTGACAGAGAAAAATTTGTGCATAGACTTTCCATGCTGAATGACAGTGTCCTCTGGATCCCTGCTTTCATGGTCAAAGGAGGAGAGAAGCACGTGGAGTGGGTTAATGCATTAATCCTTAAGAATAAACTGAAAGTGCGAACTGCCTATCCATCATTGAGACTTATTCACGCTGTCAGAGGGTAAGTGTCTGGAAAGGACCAGTCTGTCCTTGGCACAATGGAACACATAACTAAACATTTTCCCTAGACAGAAAGGAGCCTCGATAAACTCTTCCAATGGATATATGTTTCTATTGTTTTATAATGGCAACGCTATTCGCCAACTTGAATTTTGTGTATATGCTATAATCTTTTAGCTCCTTCTTTTTCTTAAAAAGGCAAATATTTGAATGTAGCACTTACGTATGTCTGTGCATGAACAAACAACTGAGTTTTATACTTTCCCATATTAAAGAGTAGTGAGAATTTATGGTAGAATTGATGAATTTGGGGTAAGGAAACAATAGAAATGTTAAGTGACTAGTGGGCGATATTGTGGAAGCATAAATGTTAAATGTATTTAAGGAGCAATTAAGACTCATCTGAAGTGAAGAGGCCGACTGGATATAGAGAAGGCTGGCTGAGATAATATTCCGTAATGTTTCCCCCAAAAAAGTTACAGGTGCCAGGTTTTATGAACTAAGTCAACATTTTCCTTTTATTAACTCAAATGAGGAAGAATAACCTAAGAAATAGATGCTTGTTTAAAAGTGGCAAATGACCAAAGGGCCAAATTCAGTCATATATTTGTGTGTTTGTGAGATATATAACACAAAGATAAGCAATAATGTGTATTTGTTAAATATCTACCGAGTGTCAGTTGCTGTAGGTATAAAAACGAAAAAGAACAGACCTCTCCACGGCTTGAAAGGAATGCATGGGCTTTATGGTGGACACAGAGGCATGCACCGCTGGCTAGGGCATAAACAAATGATAAGGGGGTATGTTGTCGAGTGTAGACTTTGTCCCTCAGATTATCAAAGAAGCTTTAAGAGTTAAACATTTAGCCCTGGCCGGTTTGGCTCAGCAGTTAGAGCGCCGGCCTGTGGTCCAGAGAGACTCGGGTTCGGTTCCCCTTAAGGGCACGTAGCTCAGTTGCAGTTTGTCCCCGCATCAATGTTTCTCTCTTTCTCTTCCTCTCTCTCCCTCCCACTCTATCTGAACAAAAAAAAAAAAGGAAAAATGTCCTTGGATGAGGATAAAAAAAAAAAAAGTTTAACATTTAAACTAGATATTTTTTTATCTTTTTCTTTTTTTTTCTAATTCTCACCTGAGGATATTTTTCCATTTATTGAGGTGAGCGAGACCCACCAATTGGTTGCCTCCTGCAAGACCTCGACCAGGGCCAGGGACCGAACTGCAATGGAGGTACGTGCCCTTGACTGGACTCGAACCCATGACTCTTTGGTCCATGGGGCGACGCTCTAACAGCTGAGCCAAACTAGCCAGGGCTTGAACTAGATCTTAACAATAGAATGACAATTGTCGGAAGAGAGAAAAAGACAGCCAAACAAAGAAATGCTATGGCATCATTAGAGCAAACTGAGGCAGGAAATGATTACACAGTACACTTGTGGAATATTGTGGGACATTGTAATACAAAGCTGGAAAAATTACTTGTGATCTGGTTGGGAAGAGAATCGATTTTATCCTGCATTAAGCACAGTTAGCTGTATGCATTTAGGAGAATAAATCTTATTACTGCAGACTCTCGCTGGCAAGAAGAGGTGCTGGAGGAATGAAGACCACTTAGGCTTTTGGACTCATTTACTCATGAGATAATGAAAACTTAGGGCAGAATCAGTGGACCCGGAAAGGAAAGCAAGTTCAGGGGACCAGCTGAATACAGTGGCTAGACGTCATAAGGAAACTGGTTAACAAGTCCAGAGTTAAAAATAGTTTGCTTCATGTGCTATAATTGTGACTGAGCTAGTGTTTTTATTTTGTTTTGCTATTGAGATATACTCCTCAAAGATTTACAATTTTCTTGTTGAGATAGAGACAGTTTCGTAGATTGTATTATTATGTGCACAATTAAATTTCATTTTATAATTAGATCATGTTTATTCAACATTGATTTTCTTGATGTTTGACACAAAGTTCCAACAAAGTAAGACCAATATGGGAGTTTGGAAGAAAAGTATTTTTTAAGTTACAAAGATTCCTGTTAATCACAATTTGAAAAAATAATGTGTTCTTTTAAAATAATGGGTTCTTAACACAAAGTAACTTTATAATGCATTATGCTAAGAATACATCCTATTTTTTGAGATGTCAATGTTAAGTAGCATTTGATTCTGAGGAAAACTTAAAGATATCACTCTGTTCTCTCTTACATGCACACACTCTGACACGTACATATGCACCAGTTACAGCTTATTAAGATTCAAGAACAAATGTTTTAAAGTACTTCCTGAGCACAGGAAACTAATTCGAAAATGCATTACTCTGAATTAGTACTTTTTTAATATACTATTTTTATAGCAGTGTTAGGTTCACAGCCAAAATTGAGAGGAAGGTACAGAGATTTCCCGTATACCCTGTGCCCCTCACCCAAACATGCATATCTTCCCCCATTATCAACATCTTTCAGAGTCATACACTTGTTATAATTGATGAACTTACGTTGGTACGTTACTATCACCCAAAGTCTGTGGAATGCACTGCACTTCACTCCTAGTTTGCACATTTTGTGAGCTTTGGCAGACGTACAATGACATGTCACCCTAAATATCCTCTCTGCTCAGCCTATTCATCCCTCCCTCTCCAGTGACACAGGCAAGCACTGATTTTATTACGGTCTTCATAGTTCAGCCTTCCCTAGGATGCCATATAGTTGGAATCATACATTATGTGGCCTTTTTATATTGACTTCTTTTTTTTTTTTTATCCTCACCGGAGGACATTTTCCCATTTTTTTGTTCAGATAGAATGTGGGGGGAGAAAGGAAGAGAGAGAGAGAAACATCGACGTGAAAGGGACATATCCAGTGGTTGCCACCCGCACCACCCAACCAGGGCCGGGGACAAACTGCAACCGAGGTACGTGCTCTTAGCGGGAACTGAACCTGCATCTCTCTGGACCACAGGCCGATGCTCTAACCACTGAGAAAACCGGCCAGGGCTATATATTGATTTCTTTTACTTAAAATATGCTTTAAAAATTCCTCCATGGCTTTTCATGGCTTGATTGCTCATTTCTATTTAGTGCTGAATAGTATTCCATTATCCGGATGTGCCAATTTATATATTCATCCATCTGTTGATTCCTAGTTTGGGCCATTATGAATAAAGCTTCAGTAAACGTGTGTGCGAGTTTTTGGACAGACATAGTTTTCAAATCCTTTGGGTAAATGGCAAGTAGTTTTGTAAGAAATTTCCAAACTGTCTTCCAAAGTGGCTGTACCATTTTACATTCCCACCAGTAATGAATGTGAATTCCTGTAGCTCTACATCCGCACCAGGATTTTGTGTATCTAGTAGTAGAATTTTGGCCATTCTAATAGGTACATAGTGCTATTTTGTAGTTATTTTAATTTGCATTTTTCTGATGATATATGATATGGAGCATCTTTTACTGCACTTTATTTTCATCTGTATCTTTTTTTAATGAGATTTCCTTTGAGGTCTTTGGTCCATTTTTTAACCAGGTTGTTAGTTTTCTTATTGTTGGGTTTTAAGTGTTCTATATATTTTGGATAACTGTTCTTTATCAGATATATCTTTTGCAAATATTTTTCCCCAGTCTGTGGCTTGTCTTCTCATTCTCTTGCCATTGTCTTTTGCAGAATATTAATTTATTATTTTTAATGAAGTCAAGATTATCAATTATTTCTTTCACGGACCACATCCTTTGGTGTTATATCTAAAAAATCATCATCAAACACAAAGTTGTTTAGATTTTCTTCTATGTTATCTTCTAAGAGGCTTATACTTTTGCATTTTACATTTATATCTGTGGTTTATTTTGAGTTCATTTTTATGAAAGGTATAAGATCTGTGTGTAAACATATTTTTTTGTACGTGGGTGCCCTGTAGTTCCAGCACGATTTGTTGAAAGGACTATCTTCGCTTCATTGTGTTACCTTTGCTTCTTTATCAAACATTAATTGACTATATTTAAATGTGGGTCTGTTTCTGTGATTTTTATCTGTTCTGTTGAACTGTTTGTCTATTCTTCACTAACACCTGATAGTCCTGATTACTCTAGCTAGCTTTATAGTAATGTTTGAAGTTATGTAGGGTCTGCTGACTTTTTCTTATCTATCAATACTGTGTTGATAATTGTGGGTCTTTTTCCTTTCCATATAATCTTTGGAATTAGTACTTTTGTTCCTTAAATTCTGGTTTATATTTCTCATTTTGCTACCAATAGAAAAACACAAAATAAGAGGCATTGTTCAAATAGGACACTTTTGATTAATTAGAATCCGGGTAGATTTATGTATTATTAACAACAATGAATTCATATGGGCTTTTTACATATATATTAAACATAAGAAGTACACAGCTTTGAATAATTAGTTCATCAACACTCTCCTTTAATGATTTTGTCCACTTTTATACCATAATCATTATAAACAGAAACGACTTCACTAATTCCTAAGCATTTTGTTTCAAAGAGCAGCAGGACCAAACATCTGATCACTGGTGATAATGCTATGCTTTTGATGACAGTTTAGGTGTTTTTGACAAGACTTATCTTGAATTCTCCAGAAACAACTTTTCTTGCTACTTTCCTGGTCATATGTCTATCTAGACGTTCCCCCCTGAAATGTCAAGTGATTGAGTTCTAAGCTGTGGCCCAGGGTATAACAAGAAGCTGTAGAGATGCTTTTCACCTTTCAAATACTTTGGAAATTTGTTCCCATGGTGTGTGTGAAAGGTAATGTCACTTATGAAATTAATAAAATTAATACACAAATACATGTGATGTAGCATTTTGACATAATATGGGTACTTTATAACCTATAACACACAAAGAAAATGAAGAAGTGGTGAAACAAGTCACATAATAACAAAAGTTCCCAAAGACCTGTTCTCGATGTATCTGTTTTACATCTCTCTGAAACCATGTGGTTAATACAACTCAGTAAAATAGTTTGGAGAGTTTCAGATCCTCTGTTAATCATTGGAATTTGT